AAAAAAAAAAAAAAAAAAAAAAAAATTGTTAAATATCAACACAGAATATTTCTTGTTGAATCGCATTCCTTGATAAAAGATCATTCTTTTCACCTTTATCTAACTCATACGCACTACTACAGAGAAGAATTATGCGATGAATTAAAGCAAATATGTATCTTCTGTTCTGAAGTACAACGTCGTGTGAAAATCATCTCTTCAACGTATTTGAGAAAAATGTTAATCAGACGTTCGTATATTTTAAGAGTATTATGAATTTTCTTTTTCTTACTGCAATGTACATGCAACTAAATGAGCAATGACGCTACTGTTTCGAATTTCACGCTAAAAAAGTTTATTATACAATTGAATGGATAAAGCATCGTACAAATAGCAACAATGTTTCTAACTTCGTTTGCAGTATCTGTAAAATAAACTCGAGTAGGGTAATAAACTTCGATCGAGTAATCAATCGATTTTGTTTCAAGGGACACTTCCAACTGTTGCAATCAATGACGATATTTCAAAGGAACGATGTGTGTTATTTAAACAATGCTCTTTCGACCGAGAGCATGGAAATAGCTGTGAAGAAAAACTATTCCGCCTTTCAGTCATTGAATGCGAAATAATTCGTGAAAGTTGCACAACGTTGCTATTGAATATAGAAAGATGCAGTAGAATAACAGATGCTATATCATACAGGCTGGAGATCGTATAACAATTTTAAAAAAGAATCTGAGAATTTTGAAAAGTTAGAAACTCGAAGGTTCGAGGAAATGTTCTGAAATGTTTCGCTGAAGCGAACTATCGAAATGTTAGAAACAAAGAAATACGAAAGCTGAATAAATACCTAACGTTGCTGAATGCTATCTGCAAACTTTGGACCCGGCGAGCTACGTTCTACTTCTACTTGATTTTCATACTTTTATTTTTAGACGATCCCATATTTTATTCATAAAATCTTGGAACGTTTTTTTTTTTTTTTTTTTTACTAAACTACGTAGGTATTTTCCTCGTTGCTAGGCTGCGGAGTTTCATCGCATTTACGCAGGTACAGGGGTACATGTATGATTGTCAATTGAAAAATGGTAATTGAAAAATTAATCATCATGATCGAAGTATTAGTATTTTTACAAATAGTGGACGCGAAAATGTATAAGATGATCAAAGTAGAGTGTTCGTCTGGAGCGAAGTATTCCTTGTAATTTCTAACGAGTGAAACAAATTTCTATTCAGGTTCCATTTCACTAATTCCATTCAGAAAGCGTACGGATTTGCATAAAAATCCACAGTCTACTTCATGAGATGTGTACAGTCTACTACATGAGATATGTACACGAGTTATATCTATACATGTATAATAGCTTATTGTTACGTTACGTAATTACATATAAATATATATATAAAACCAATTGCAGTTGCAGAATTGTTTATAATTAGCCAACCACGTTTTGTTCAAGTACGAATAATTATACGATATAATTAACTTAAAGATACAACTTGTGTATAACGTTATACATAGAATGAGTTAGCTAAAGGGG